AGGATTTTGTATTTCCAAGTAGTTCTTTTCCTCGTTTGAAAGGAAGCAAACAGAATACCTAGTTGTAAGTTGGGAAGTTAAGTTGTATGCAGCCTCTGGAATCCTTTTGCTTTTTCTTTAAATAATTTTTGAGGACTTTGAAATTAAGAGCAAATTAGATGCAAGATATTATGAAGAGGTTTTAATATTTTTATTATGTCTTACCTTCAGAAAAATACACTTTTGATAACCATTCTGTTTGAATTTACAGTCTAGTGCTTGGCATGCTAAGAAGTTGTGTATTTTGATTGATGTTTTATGAGAAAACTACTTACTTGCTGGATAGATTGTACGTTGTCAATTACATGCTGCAAATGGAGAGCCGAACACGCTTGAAGAAACAAGACTGCAACTTCATTTAGCAACAGTAACTGCATAAGAGGAGCAGGAAGGTAACTCTTGACAAATTCTCATCTTGCTGTTTCTCTATGTGATGCATAAGCCAGCGAGTATACTTTGCGGTTTGAAATGAGCTATGTAACAATGAAAGACCAAACCAACCCTTCACGGATGACATTCTACTTGCATCATTAAAATGACACAAAATGACCTAAATCGTGTCAAAATAGCATGATAGAGCTTGATCACCAAATCTGAGCTCCACTAAGTTGAAACAAAGCAGTTATTTTTCTCATTAATTTTTATTACCGCTTAATGTATTTAAATTAACATTTTTAAAAAGCCGTGTCACTTTTTGTGGAAGTCTTGTCAAGTGAGAGTTCATTAAACAAGAAGTTAGGATTATATGAGTAGTGTTTTTGGTGTAATGTATGTTAAAATGTAGCAGCCTTTAATGAGCAGATGCTAGGAACCATTTACTTTTCCTAATAATAGGAATAATTCAATTTTTTAATGTTAAAACTTCTTCTAAATGTTAACATCAGCATGCTTTATCTGCATACAAGTAAGGAGCTGAACCATAAAATGGTTAACCTTTACAAAATTGATGATAGGAAGCATAAACAAATTAATGTTTGTCCATTGAAAAAGAGCACAATGTGCTCGGAAGTTTTCATTCTTCAGTTTCTTAAATCCTGGACGTTTCTAAAAAATAGAAGTTCAAAATCTGATTTTACCTACATATATCTGCACGTGAACTAGTCTGGCATAAACCGCTCAGTCAGAAGCATAATACTCAAATTTTGTTATTCAGTCTTCTCAGTTTATTAGCATTGTTTTAATTTGTCTTTTTTTTTTTCCCTCTTTCCTGCATGTGTTTGTTTTTTTCATTAGGAAGCTATGCAGTAAAATCAAGATTATGATATTAAAGCACTCTCAGCCCAACAAAAGTTAAAGTTCAGGAAAAAAGAGCAGTTCAAGTGCCTGGCATCAGGTGACACTTGGAAGTGGTTGTGCATTTCTCTGGTGTGGGGTGACTGGATTGGAATCTCCAGAGAGTGCAGGTAGAACAAGCAAAAAGTGATCAGAAACCTCATTTCACATTTTGAAGAAGAGACAAAATAACCATGATCCTAAACTGCTATGGGATAGCAGGTCAGAAGCCTACTGGTAGAGATTAGTCAGGCTGTGAGATGAACACACCTCTTTGGTATAAATCTTGGTCAGTTCTGCCCTTTTTTGAAGCCTGACTTAGCATAGTTCCCTGAAGACTTTGCTACTAAAGTAATGTTCTGTAGTTCTGGGCTGCTGTTTCTTTCAATACTGCCAGTTCAATGTGGTCCCCAGTGTGAATCCCACTAAATAATAAGAGAGAAAGGGGAATGTTACCTAGATGTCAGCAAAACAAACAAATGTCTGTACAGAATCAAAAATCGAGCTGGAGCTGCACATGCACACGGAAGGATATTAGTGCTTGTGGCCATCTCTAGCATGGTCTGTCTTGAAAAAACACTCAGCACCAATGGACCATCATTCAAAGAAAATCCACTTTAAAAGAACAAGCAACAGCTGACTACTAAGACCAAGTGAATTCCTTGCAGGAAGAGATTCTATATCTTGTGATTGCTCTGTGAAGAAAGGACCAGGATTGCTCTGTGAAGAAAGGAGCAGTCCCAGTATCTGCCTATATCTGGTGGATGTTACGTATTTTTGAAGTGCATCATATTGGAGAGATTGATTTATAAATAAGAGGTAAAAATAACTTGTCTGTTATCTCATAATTAATTGATCTATGAAAGAGCTATGCACATACTTCTTGTTCCTCATTCTGAGTAGCTGAGCCTGCTTCAGCTAAAGCAGCATAAAAGGTGACAGATAGACCTATATACCTGTGCAAGACAAACATATCAAATTTTTTTTGTTCTCTTTCTTTGGTATCTGCATCTAAATAGGTGCTTAGCCCAGAATTTTGAAGCTTGGATGTTACAGGTGAAAACAAAGGTGAATTTTAGTAGCATTTATGAATAAAAAATTTTATTATAGCATTTATTTTTGGTTTCTTATATTTGTAGATTAAGATTTCAGTACCTCTTACTGAAAATTAAATGGCACTGATGTAACAAAAAAATCTTCTTTATAGAAACAAAAATGTAAAGATGAGAAAATGCGCATGCCTGAGAAGCGTTAGTTGGATGTTTTTGATTCTTGCTCCTATAAGTCATATATTCTTTCGCAGGGATTTGTTTCTTCTTCTAATTCCCTCTTCTGTGGTCTTTTCTTTCAGATGATGCCAATGAAGGGAAAAGGCAAGGTTTCAAAAGAAACAAACAAACTGGAGTCCATTGTTTCTGGTGCTTTTAGTATTGGTTTATTAGCAGCAGAGCGATTTTTTGCTTACAGAGGATTAATGATTTCAAAACAAAGGGTATCCAAACAAACAAAGAAGTGAGGGGTGTATTTTATACACCTTATTTACTGCTTTTATTGAAGAGAGAAGTTGAAGGCTGACCTGCAGGCATAGTTCTGTACAATGCCAGGTCTGTTGTAGATCCAATACTGGTCCTGATTGTTTGTCTCTGACATTTGTAAGGGTTGGGAGTGCAGTGTGGGCTGCATGCTGAGTTGTTAAAAGTATGTGTGAAGTGTCTGATGTCAATCACCACCATCCTTCCAGCTGCTTGAGGACCATCACTGACAAAATCCTATGGGAGCTCTCTCACCTTCAAGTGTAACAAAAGGAAGCACACGTCCCTGGAGTGGTATGATGAAAATGAAAAAAAAGAAATCAGGAAATCCTCAGGGTTTCAGAGAAAACATGAAGTACCATGTGTTGAGTCAGGGAGCAAAGCAAAAGGTACAGCCATTTTGGATCTGAAATACAGTTTTGTAGAAAGAGCCCTTGAGAATAACCCTGTGAATTACTGAACCCAAGTCTGATTCTCACTTTACCTTAGTTTTCTACCTCAGTAATTAGCAACATCTAATGTGCTCAGGCCTTCTGTAATTGAGAGCTGATGACTGCTAAGGCAGCCCCTCTGATAGCTGGTGGGAGGTGAGATTTGTACAGCAACTGGATGAAAAGCGGAAAACATCAAGCAATTTATTAAGCTGAAACAACAATGTAGAATAAAAAGTAAAAATAATCTTACACCTCTAGTATCCTTTTGGTCAGTTCATCCAGAAAGGAAAAACAATGTGATATCTAGATTTTGAAGCTGAAACATAATAAAAGTATGATTTTGAAAAACATACTACTTGTCTCTCATGCTCATGCATTAAGTTCTGCCTGGTGCAAAAATCTGCATTAGTAATATTGGCCTTTGAAGGAATGCTTCTTGTTCCTTTGTTTTTTTCTTTTTGCCAGGTAAACTGCTGCTGGTACGTGAGGATTATGCATAATAAAGTACTGAAGAATATGTTCAGGTATAAACCAAGGTGAACTACTGCAAGAAGTGATTAAACATATGTTGGGGGTTGAATGCTTCGCTTTTCTTTCTGTGGAATTTCTCCCATTGTTATGCTAAGTAATTGTGGCTACACCTTAAAACGACAGATAATGTTCTCTCGTAGGGGGGTGGCTGGAGGGGGAGCGGGGGGGAACCGGAAAAGGAAAGGTGGGATAGGGGGGTCTGGA